ATACTTTACATGAACAACATTTTTATATATATATGTTGTTTTTTTGTACTTTTACATTAATATAAGATCAAAATATTAAAGACGTATAATTTGATCTTTGTTAAGAACCTTATAGGTGATATTTTAAACAAATCGTCAAATATATTTAGGAAATAAGTTTTTAGATTTTAACAGTTCATTGTCTAGAGATAAAATGACGGTTGTAGCATCACTGACAGAACATGCACTTTCGATGTCGATACGATTTTCGAACTGCTTGCAGTCTCACATTCAGTTACAATCACAAGAGTGTGCGTGTTCCGAAATTTTACACCTGTCCACCAATCTACCTGGTTTGTTTATACTCTTTGTTATAGTCTCTGCTTTATCCGCACTCAGCTGTTGAGTCCATTTCTTACGGTATTCTACATATATAGTGGCATTGACCGATTGTGCATTATCCAATACCTATAACACTGTGCGACAAAAAAATGTTTAAGTTGATTTTTTTCTTATTTTTCACTTCTACTAGTCAAAATAAGAATATAAGTTTTTGGATTTGTTAATATCAATAGCCAATCAGCTTCTACGCACACTCAAATGTCCCAAAAACGCGTGTTTTTGCATATTTCCACAGCCTTATAATCACATATTGGGAAAATATTTTTTCACCGTTATAAGCGTTTTATGCAAGTTCAATATCTATTAATTAAAATTTATTAAGCAAATATACCGTTAGGCTTTTTATAACAATGCTTTAGAATTTTTTTTTCTCCCAGCTCTATACTCTGGGCGACTACGTATGGAACTTGTTACGCAAGGATACCTCTGAAAAAGCCAAAAAAATCTGGAAAAAAATTCACTTAAAAAAAAAATAATAGTTTATTGGAAGTAAAAAAAAAATAATATTTTGTGTTAATTATTTTTCATAATAATAATTTCATAACATTTATCATAAAAAAAAGAAATCCTATCACTTAGAAGGTGGCATAGATATTTTTGTGCATAATTTATGCATCTTAACCGAAAACAATCAAAAAAAGTAACTTAAACAAACATTTCGTTAAATTTTGTCGCACAGTGTAATTTACCTGTACGCTGTCCATGAAAGTGAGCACTTAACGTATAGCTTTAATTTTTTGTTTGATAAAAATATTGCAAGTATGTACGTACATTGTGGTACTCAACAAATGGTTCCAAAAATTATGTGTCATGACATAGTACAAACTTTTCTTCTACACTTTAAGATTCTTTCCAGCCCACAAGAAAGACTAATGTAATTAAAAGAAAATTAAAATTTTATTTTATACCCAAATAAAAACCAAAATTCAAACCCATGTATTAAATTATTTCCTTTTGCGACACTAAACTTTGAAGGTTGCTGGTGGAAACGGGACCTCTTAGGTTTTAATTTCTTGATTATTGTTCAGGAACAAAGTACCACATCAATGTCCCGACAGCAATGTATAGCAGAATTTCAAGAAAGCGATGCAGTATGCGCAACCTAAAATAAACTTTTTAAAATTGTTTATTAACAAAACTAAATTTTACACACCTAAATAATCTCCGTTTGGACTTTTCCAATGTATCCCAGGACTCCTTAAAAGGAATACCCTCATTCCGGTAACGATGCGACTGAAGTAGTCGTCCCAGTTAAAGTTGGCCATATCGAAGGGAAATATTGCTCTATCCCACGCCGACATAACGTCCCACATCTTAGTGGTATTATTTGTATCCATTATGATCGTTCTTCCACTAAAAGGGTATAACAGGAGCAGTGCCTCGTGGATCTTAGGATAGCTCTTCATCAAGATAGGCTTCCGACCTTGAAGCCGCAAGACGAGATCGGTTAGAAAACCAGGTATCAGGTGGTAAAATATACAGCCTAACTTAAACATAAAAGGGCAGGTGGTGAAGTGGGCAAATGGGTACCAAATCGTTTTAGTGACAGGAACCTTATGAAATTGTTCGATGCCTATCTTAACGGACGTTTTAAATTGGATTGCGTTTGATTTGTCCGGTGCGAAGGCGTAAATGGGTGGAGGGCTTTTGCAGCCAGGGAAGGGGAGGGATTGGCATTCTTGGACACTTGCCATCCAGATGCCACGGCAACGTTGGCGCAATAATCACCGGGAACTACCATGGCTTTAGCATTGGGATTAACATACAACAGTCGAAGGATGCCGTAAACATTGCCGTAAATCAAGGCTACGACTCCATGTAGGTTGTCAATCCATCCAGACAACGGCTCCTTGAAGTTCGCCAAAACTGTAATAAGAAAATAATTTGTTTTTAGAAGCGACTTAATTTTAATGGTCTAGTCGTATTTATGTAAAAACTTGCAAAAGGTAGTTATTAATAATAAAGAAAATGTTTTAAGAATTGAAAAAAACATCCCTTAATTCTTGATTGACATATTATGACTGCGTTAAATATACGTGGATAGTTTTCATTATAAACAGCCATTCAAATACACTTAAGGTATAAATTTGCACACACGAAACTAATTCTAATTCTAAATCACTTACTTATGGCAGGTCGGAAAATGCAAATCGGCAGGTCCTGACCTTCCATTTGAATCACTTGTTCGGCAAGGGCCTTCGTGTAGACGTAAGTGTTCGGGAACTTTCCCATCAGAGCTGGAGCCATGCTGTTCAATAACTCAGGGCTCAAAGTCTCGTTGAACTCAAGCACCTTGGCTGCCGGACACGTCAGGTTTTCCGGATAGAAACGCTCCTGGATGTGATTTGTGATGCAGTTGGAGTAGGCAGTAGAAACGTGTACGAAAGCCTTAAGGCCCTTCATCTCCTTGGCCAACTGAATCATGAGGCGCGTGCCACGAGTGTTGATGTTCAGCGCATTGTGGAGCGGCTCCACAAATCGAATAGAGCGGCACTGTGGATCACCACCTCGACCTCGGAGGTCAGTATTTTTCTATCCTCCTCGCTGAGACCCAGATCCGGTGCGCTACAGTCTCCTGAAATAGGTGTCGTCAGGCTTAGGGCCTCCGGCTTGGCCTTTAAAAGGACATCAAAAACCTAAAAAATATTATTTTAGGATATTATTCTATATCCTTGTAATCCATAGATAGTTTTGTTGTTACTCACCGGTGCATTTTTCCATACTTCGAAGCGTGACTCCACATTTCGCCTTTTTTTTCCTAACCAAAAAATAGATACGCTTCACATCCGTGGAACGTAATAACTTTCAATTATCACTAAAAATCGGAGTGGAAAAGATTGTTTTTTAAACTGAATAAATCCTTTTCGTGTAAGCTGGTATACCTTTGCCTAAAAATCCTGTGCCTCCGGTTACGAAAACGGTTTTGTCCTTATAAAATTGTTGAATATCCGACTGCATTTTTGTACTGATCTGGGTTCCGCCTAAGAATCACCACAAATGAGGAATGCTATCACTCTTTATAACAAAATGCTAATGCCCTTTAAGTGCTGTAATAAGTCGGCAATTATACAATTTACACATTGCATCAATCTGCATTGTTATGGCGTGTGGTGTTGCGTTTAGTATTTGGTTGCAGCGATGAAAGCTTTGGCGGCGAAAGGTAGATATTCATATTAGGCGCGGAACTAATTGAAAACATTTGTCTGCAATGTTCGTGAAAACTAAAACTGAAGGTCTGAACTCATTTTCAATCCAATTTCTGCTATAAGGTAAGCAAAACCCAGATCTGCATTATTAATTTTATTACATCAACGATGACAAAAAAGATGTGCATTTTCCTCAGGATGATCCTCGGCTCTGGCGGCAGAAATCAAGGTTTCTAAATCCCGCAGACACTGCTCCTTTCTTTAGTGACTTAAAAAATGTATTTAAATGTGTTGTTAGTCTTTTTTAGTAAAATATTACATGAACAACATTTTATATATATGTATGTTGTTTCTGTACTTCCCATTTATACACGAAATTAATATTCAACACTTATCATTTTGTCTTTGTTAAGAACCTTATAGGTGATTTTTTTAAACAGAGCGCAATATATATATGTGAACAAAATTAATTCTTAATTTTATCCAATACCTAAACTATATCCAATACCTAAACTGTAACTGTAAGGGGTCCATGAAAGAGAGTACTTAACGTATAGCTTTACATTCAAAAAAATTCGTTTCTTTTTAGATAAAAATATTGCAAGTACGTACGTTTTGATATTCAACAAATGTATTTTAACGGTTCCAAAAATTGTGTTTGGCATATTCCTTTTTTATTCTACGAAATTCTTGTCACACTTTTACTTTATTTTCCCGCCCACATGAAAAACTAATGTAGGTAAAAGAAAAATTAAAAATTTGATTAGTTAATACCCCAATAAAAACCAAAATTGAAATCCATGTTTTAAATTATTTCCTTCACGATACTAAACTTGGAAGATTAATTATTGCTGGGGGAAACGAAACCTCCTCGGTTTTAATTTCTTGATTATTGTTAAGAAACAAGGTCCATATCAATGTCCCGACAGCAATGTATACCAGAATTTCAAGAAGGCGATGCAGTATGCGCAACCTAAAGTAAACGTACTTTTAAAATAGTTTTAACAAAACTGAATTTTACACACACGAATAATCTCCGTTTGGCCTTTTCAATGTATCCCAGGACTCCTTAAAAGGAATTCCCGCATACCGTTATAGATCCGACTGAAGTAGTCATCCCAGTTGAGATTGGCCATATCGAAGGAAATATTGCTCTATCCTCCGCCGACATATCATTCCAAATATTGGTGGTATTATTCGTATCCATAACGATAGTTCTTCCACTAAGGGTATAACAGGATCAGAGCCTCATGGATCTTAGGATAAATCTTCATCAAGATAGGCTTCCGACCTTGAAGCCTCAAGACGAGATCAGTGAAAAAACCAGGTATCAGATGGTAAAATATACAGCCTAACTTAAACAGAAAAGGGCAGGTGGTGAAGTGGGCAAATGGGTACCAAATAGTTTTGGTGACAGGACTCTTATGGTTGTTATCGAGGCTTTTTTGAACGGCCGTTCTATAGTCGATTGTGTTTGATTTGTCCGGTGCGAAGGCGTAAATTGGCGGAAGGCTTTTGCAGCCAGGAAAGACGATGGATTGGCATTCTTGGACACTTGCCATCCAGATGCCACGGCAACGTTTGCGCAATAATCGCCGGGAACTGCCATGGCGTGAGCATTGGGTTTAGTGTACACCAGTCGAAGGATGCCGTGAGCACTTCCGTAAAATCAAGGCTACGACTCCGTGTGGGTTGTCAATCCATCCAGACATCGGCTCCTTGAAGTTGGCCATAACAGCGATGGAAAATAATTTGTTTTAAAAAAATTTACCTTCACTCCACCCGGGAGCATAGGTCCTCTGGGGTTGCCACCTGGCGCCATAGGAGTGACGAAAGTTCTGTTATTGTGTTCATAGTAACATGGACGAGGGTATGCGGGTCCGGGGAGCCGAAATTTGTTACTATTGTTAAGTGAGCGATAGAGCCTGGGATTCAAACCCGGGCCTTCGGATCGGAGACCAGCGCTCTACCTGCTGGTCCACCGACCTAGTGACCTAGTACAATGGTCCAATAAGGCAATTATTAATATTAAAAATATTTTTCAAGGCCTGAAGAAAATAGCATAATTCTTGATTTACATGCTATGACTGAGTTGAAATGAGTAGCAATACGTAACTT